TGACCTCTTTGAAATGTGTTCAGCTAAGCACCGAGTGGGACATAGGACAAGCCTTTGATGGAAGCATCACCCGGCACTGCCTGTAGCTGACTGAACAGGTGGAATCATTAGTCTGGATCAGATCCCAGAAGGGTTTTATGATGATTCTTTTAAAATGTGGCCGTGTTCTTTCTGAGCAGAGTTGACTCAGTGGCTTCCAGGAACAGGGCTGTAATGTCATTTCAGGGTGTCTACCAGCATATCTTCCTTTTAGTCATACGGTACCATGCAGTAACTTTGGGTAGTCAACTAGTTGGTTGTAGTAAAGAAGTTGTCCGGTTCTATTTTGTTTTCTTCTTAATAGAAGGTGTGTGGGTGTGTGAGGAGAACAGCAGCAGATACCACCCCCATCCCACAGCCTCCCCTGCCTTTTGTCCATGCAGAAGGGTAGGTGTGATGATTGCTGCGGGTGGTCTGGCAGTGGTAATAAACCTGGCTCTGGAAACCCACAAAAGGAACTTAATTCTTTCCACGACATTTCCCTGTTATGGCAGAATTCTTCATTTCTTTCTAACCAGAAATTTTCTCCCTAAACTGTTATCTACAGGTTGTGAAAACCTTGCATGAGTTACGGGATTGAGCAATGCAAGGAGGAATATAGTGAAGGAAAAAACACTCTCAGTGGTTGGGGTAGGAAAAAGGGTTGTCACTAAAATGTCAGAGCCTGTCTCAGAGAAATAGAGGAAAACACTTAGTGGCTCAACTAGTTAAGCTCAAGCTAGGGTTTTGCATTGTGTTTCTTGCTACTGTGTTTCAACCAGAAAATAGAGAAGAATGGATTTATGGTAAAACAACAGATGAGGACTCGCATCTCCTAGGTTTTAATTTCTGTCAGAGATTCACTTCTGACCTTGGAACACTTCTCCTACCTGTATGTCTCACTTCTTCCTCATCTGTAAAATGTGGATCACGGTACTTCTCTAAGTACTCCTCGACTTCAGAGTGGTCACTAGAGGAACAGTGTTCTGCTGTACAAGACATCCTTATGTCAAACAGTAGTAGATATTATAAAATAGCCTGAACAGGCAGCCAGGTCTTAAAAGTTCGTGGGAAAGGAGCTTTTATGCAATACCTAAGGTGCAGGCACCCAGAGATGTTTGTGACAACCCATTTTATCCCCTGATTAGCTCTGATTCTGTGTTTGACTACAGTTTACAGAGGCTGAGTGATCCCTGAAAATTTGATACCGGGAGTGACAATCACAAAAGAGGGTCAGCAAGAACCTCTGAGTGCAAAACAAGCATGGGTGCTGGATTATTCAGATCAACACCCTGAAGCCTGAAAAGGAAATTTTAAGGCTTTGTGAAAATTATGACTAATTCTTTGCAATGGCTGTGGTGCTGTAGAGGAACGAAACGGATGGCTGGGGGAAGGGAATAGGTTTGCATTCTGTAGGGCTGTGAAGACAGCTTCCTTGCATCCTTCTCCTCAGCTCAGTCCTTGCTCAGTACCCTCTGCGGTTAGATTATTCCTTGCAGATAGCAATCAACTGGAAGGAAGTGTGTGTCTAATTTGCATGAGATTATTTAAAACAAAAAAAAAGGTCTGCATTAGTCAGGGTGATGGTAAACAACGCAAAGAGATGCCTTTTATAATATAGCCGTGGCTCAGCTTTCAAAGCCAAATATAATTCACTTACAATTGGCAGTTTCCTTTATTGTTCCTTTTAACCTTTTGCGTTCTGCATGGTCTTGATCTTGCTGCAACTCCAGAGCAGCTAAAATGTTGGCTTTCCAAAGTGTGGAGAAAGTGGATTTAGAGCAATTCTTCTGTTAAACTGAGGGGATTTTCTTGACATAGCTATTTGAGAGTTATATTAGACATAAAGCTCCAGTTTTTGTGGTGTTGCTTTTATATCCAAGGAAGGTGACATTACTTTTGGGTTACCAGCTTTCTGCTAGAGTAGAACAATGAATGGGCCATGGAAACATTATTCTATATAATGCAGTGATAGAAGGACTGTGATAAAATAAAACAAGGTGAGATGTTGGAACAGGTTACACTTCAGTCTGATTTGGAAATTCCCACTTTTCTTGTAATTTATCAAGGTTAAATAATTTGGGGCGTGGAGAACTCGTACTTGTGTGCGTAGGTGGTGGATCTGAAAAAAATTCAGTCCAAAGGGAATTTTGATGAGTTACTTGTAATTGCATGGGGACAGTCTTAGAATATCTTGTATATTTTTGCTGGGGTGTGTGAGAAGTGACAGCCATGAAGACAGGTATATTTCTGAATCCACAGATGCTTCGTTGCAGTGCAGACTTAGTCCATATATATATGCTTAAGGAATCAGCTCCTGGAGATTATTCCCTTGATGCTTAGAGGCCGAGATGACAGGGCCTGAAAAACATCTTCTTCAAATGAATAAAAAGGTGTTCCAGGATGATGGCACTGGCAGTCCTTGCCTCTGATAATTAGGAAGGGACATAGTTGTGGTGTTCATTTGTTTAGTGCCACTAGTACCATGAAGACCACTTCACAAGGCACCAGAATAGTCCAGGGAAGTAATAACGGTTTTCATTTGCAGTACTTTGCACAGGATTCAAACCAGGAACTCAAATGTGAAAGGTTTCTCATTCTATCATTCACATCAGCTTTTTCTTCACAGTACAGCAGGGTTTTCCTGGAAACAGTGATTTTTGAGTGTTCCTATTTGGCAAGACCAGAGTAATGCTAGAAGTACATTTTGTCTGCAGAAGATTTTAGATTCTTTTTCTCAATGAGAATAGGAGGGGCAGTGTGGTTAGGAAAGAGTAAGAATTGTTTCCTGCTCTTTTGGTGGAATGACTAAGGATCCTCCATAGCTTCCCTGCATTCCCAGGTGTGAACTGTTACTGGATACGTTCTCTTTGCATGGAAATAGAACCAAATGCCCTCTTTTAGTGGGAGCCACATTTGCAGCCAGCAGCTGATGTTGTCTCCATGTTCATGAAATTCCATAGTTGCTAGTGATCTGCAGTGTTGGCATCTGTTTATACTTTCTCCTACATTGGATAATTAGGAGCTGGTTAAAACAGTTTCTTTTTGATCAGGACTTCACTTTTTAACATGGATTAGACACAATAAGTACTGCTTTTGTGACTCCAACAGTAGGCTGAGACGTGTTCATGTGCCTTTTATTACGCTCCCTGCAGGTCTTGTTCCATACTGTTATGTGTGGCTTTGATTCCTCACTATCCAAGGCATGCATCAGATACAAGTTAAGGGGTGATTTTGTTGGACTTCAGGAAGGATTGGGAACTTCAGACTCCTGATACTGTTTCTGACACTGACAATATTCTGTTGTGTTAGAGGAATTACCTAACTTCTCTGTGCATTAGTAGCTGAGCTGTAGAGTAACTAGGATATTATCTCACAAGAGCTCACAGTATCTCATGCACTCACAGGAGAAGGGAAAGGATCTGTTAATAGCTGTAAAGCCTTCTAAATGCCAGAAACACTGTGTTAGTGCTTTATGATGTTAAATAACAGTTCTGACACAGACCTGTGTATTCCTGGAGCTATTGTTTGTGCTACAGATTATTCTATCTAGACCCCCAGTATGCAGTGAAGTTTAAGATCCTGAAAATATTTCTCAAAACTTGGGTAATATGCCCAGAAGTGTGGTCATTTTCTATATTGTATCTCCCTGTAACGATAAAAAGCTGAGTGTCTTGAAGGTCCAAGTTCAGGAGTTTCACCTACCAGCAGTACCTCGGGGATCTCAAGTGGGGGGGATGGAAAGCATTCCCCCATCTCTCTCCCACTGCTCTTATGTTCATACCATTCCTTACTGTGTTCTGTCCCTGCAGCAACTGTGTGAGAATCAAGTGGTCTGTCTCTTTTAAATCTCTTTCCTTAAATCTATTTTCTCACTTCCAACCTTTCTGAATGTTTTTGTGTGCATGCTGCTTGTACAGTACGAGGTCCTGGGTCTCTTCACGTGTTCCTTGTAGCAGGGAGAGCAGCTTTCGATCTGCTTCTGTGCAGGGGAATAACACAACACATAACACAGCTCTCCAGGCCCCACATCACGGTTGCTGGCTGAGGACTAAATTCTTCTTCTAGAGGATGTTTTCTCCTGTTGTAAAAAATAATCCAGCTGTGCTTCCTTTTCCACAGACGCTGGTCATCGTGAATCCTTTAGCTGCTTTTGTTTTCCCCCTTGTTGGCCAAATCCTTTCCATATGTTGTGGCCAATTACAGATGGTCATCCTGGCATTTCCTGATGGCAGCAGTGACTGCACCAACGTGTCCCATGTGTGCAGTGTTACTACAGCTCTGTGTGAAATAAAAACCAGGCTGCCTTAGGGCAATCTAATCATGCAGCAATAGGCCGGGGCAATGCTAAGCTGAAAGTTTGGGCTTGGCCTTGTTTTGATCTGTTTTGTTATAGTTTTATTTCCTCCTTACATTCTGTGTCCCATTCATACTAATCACAGTCAGTCCTGATTTTTTCTTTTTATTTCTGCATTTGTCATAAAATAAAGCAAATTATTCCCGTCTTCGGAAACGATCTAGACTAATTAGTCGTCTAACCCAATAATTAGTTTTTTGTTTCCCTGTCTGTTTTCATGCATTATTGTTAGTTTTTTCCCCTCTTTTTTTTTTTTACACCATTACAGATTAAAATGAGCCACATTTGCAGTTGATGGTATCTTTTTTTCGGGGGAAGAATGGAGAATTGCAATAGAAAGCTACTTCAAAAGCAGCAATAAACTCAAGGATAAATTAAGGAAATTGAATGAGCCACATTTGGAAGCAGTGTCGAGGCTAATATTCTGTCGCTTAAGGTTAAATTGCAACAGAGAAAGAGAGAGGGAGACATTCCAGTGAATCCAAAATTGGGGAGGCATTACTGCTCAAGTCAGTGCCAAAATTCTTTGCAGCTTGAAAGGGTTCTGCCTGGCTTGAGAATTTAATTATGCGTGCATCAAGTGGGCAAAGGTGCTAAACTGATTTCATTTCCTCTGCTCCCCCAGGCCTGACAGATGAAGAAATTGATCTGGCGTTCCAGCAGTCGGGCACGAGCACAGAGGAGCCACAGAGCCCAGCTCCTTCTGCACAGCTGGTGCCACCGCAGCCCTCTCACCCTGTGGTGCACAGTAAGTCACACTTTGGAAAACATCTGGTCCTGTTGCTTTCTGCAGTGAATCCTGCAGCAGTTTCACAGATTTCTGTGCCAGATCCTAGATTTTGGTTCAGCTGATGTTCTGACTTTTTGTCAGAATTGGACTCCAGTGTTACTCTGAGTGCACTTCATAGCTGTCGATGCCTGTGGGAAGATCCTGTTGCACAAGGAAGATGAGATACAAATGATCATCGTCTCCAAACATACGTAGTAGCCTGTGACACCTCTTGACCTGAAGGCATATAGTCAATACAAATTAGGTTCTGTCTCACTGTAGGGACTTGGAAGAAGTCATTTAGTCAGTGTAGGACTCAGTCGTCCCTTCTAAAACTGAAGGTCATGCTTCTCTTCATCAGTAGTGTTTTCTAATCTTTAGATCATTAATACATGATAGAGCTGATAGATTCTTGGATCGAAGGTGCTGTAAAAGTGCAACACTATTCCAGCTTTAGGTATGGCAACAGTGGACTCTGGCCAATAAGCTGTTGGACATCATCACAAAGTTTTGTATTTTAGTTAGAGGACTTATTTTCTTAACTAGTCTGACAAATGAGCAGTTCACTGAATCATAGGATGTCTCAATTTGGGAGAGACCCATAAGGATCATGGAGTCAAAATCCCTGCTCCCTGCAGGACTACCTAAAGCTAAACCTAAGGCTAAGAGCATCATCCAGTTGCTCCTTGTACTCTGCCTGCTAATGCCTTGAGTGTATTTTCAGCATCAGCAGCAAGCTGGGGTATGATGTCTTCAGGACTTAGTCTTTGGCTTCCTGTGTATGAGTTTAAGGTCTGGCACAACGGACCCCCAGAGTGCTGTCAGATTACAAATAATAATAAGCAGTTAATGAGCCCTTGATTTTAACAAGCTTTCTCTCTTCAATCTTAACTAATCTGAGGTGTAACAGCAGCTATTCTGTGTAGACTCTGCGGATGTGATTGTATGATTTTGTGTACAAAATACACTCTCAACAAATTTTTAAAGTCCCAGCATAATCTGTGTAGACTCAAAATTTACATATATATTTGCATTTTAAAACAAACCTCGCAAAAAAGTATCTAAGCTCCAAACAATAAAAACCAAAGTACACACCATTAAAAATCCATCAAAAGAAGCTGTTCAGCTCACATGTGTGTCTGGCAGTTTGAAAATCACTTCACTTACCTGCCAAATGTGAAGAACAGGATTTTGATACTGCTCCTAAACAGCTCCAGGTCAGGTATTGACTGATGTAACAGTCCGCTTAGGGCTGTGTTTATTAGTTTATGGTATAGTTTTTCTATGGCTAGAGATAATACTAGACTTGCTTTCTGAGTTTTTAAATACTCTGGATTGGCACAGTTTGGGGAAAAAAAAAAACACCCAAACATTTGTGATGGAGTTTGGCTCGTAACTGGAGTATTTCTGACTGTTGTATTGGGTGTGCTGGTGAACTCCAGGGCTGAATTCCTCCTCCTGGATTAATACCTGTTTGCTGTAGTTCACAGAAAATTCCAGAAAAGCAAAATTTGCTCTCTTGCTGAAGAAACAGTGCCAGGTCCCTCTTAGTGTGATCCATTGCTCAGTCAGCTAACTCTTAGCACAGTCCAGTATTGGAAGAGTTAATCTCCTCTTATTTGGTAGTGTTTCACTAATATGAGTAGGACAGGAAAGGAGTTCACAATTCAAACTGGAAAGCATTGTCATAATTGTTAACCCTTACAGCTTTATCTGTTTGATTTTTTTTTTCTTTTCATTTTGCTATATTTGCTTTCCTCAAAGCACCAGCTCCCAATTTCTTTTTACTAGGTAAGAATCTTAACTAATGTGTAAATACCAAACTGTTCCCATTAATGCTCCAAAGAGAAGGCTGAAAGTATCATTCTGTAATGCTCAAAAACCAAAGATGAGTAAAAAAAAACCACCAAAGTAAAGCTTCTGTAGGGGTTGTAATCATAAGTGGTGCTCTAGCTTTGTGATCTGATTGGTCCTTTTAAAAGAACTTGGACTGAAAGATTTTGCCTGTGAGCCAGTCCTTTTCAACAACCCCCAAAATGAGGGAAATGGTGAAATAGCTTCATTAGATACAGTTCCTCCCTCTAACCTTTCTTTGTAGACCTTTTATTTAAGCTTAACCTCTAAATGGATGTATAAAAAGAATACATTGCTAACTATACATGGCATTCACTTGACCAAAATACTAGTGTTGGTCAGTGCCCTATTGTGGTCCTTGTCTGGTGCAGTACTGGTGCTGTTAATGAGGGAACCATCTCAGTGTCTTCCTGTTAGGTGTCTTCCATGGTATCAGAACTGCCAAAAGAATAGGTGACTTTCTGTAGAGCTGATGGATGAGACTGTGCAGTGGCTCCGTGCTCTTCTGAGTTCCTTGTTTGCTGTAGATTATTTCATCAGTTGGATGCTAATCCTGTAATAAATATTTCTGAATTGGTCCAAATCTGCTCCAGGACAGCTGTTTCTGTGATAGTTTACTAAGTCACTTTATCATTCACAGCTTTGTCAGAGGTGGTTGTGTACAAAGACAGATACTGCTTTTTCTATCTGTTACACTTATCTTGGTACAGAGTATTCCTGACACTAGTGTTGGAATGCTTCAGGGCTTGAAGTTCAAAAGTATTTCCAAAGGACTAATGAGATAGGTAGAATGCTGAATGTAGAAGTTGACTTGTTGATGGGAACAACTCATATTGGAAGAGCTTATTTTGGAAAAGGTCATGAGGTGTATTTGCCTTGCCCAAAGAAAGCATCTGAGTTTCTTGTGAAGCAGCATCTGATCTGCTGGAGTTTAGGTCTGAAGACTGTGATCCACTCTGTGTTTGATATTTTTCTTTCTTTTTAAGGGATTTTTTTAGTAGTTTTGACACCTCTACACAAAATCACAAAACTAGAAAGAATTACCCCCCACAGAGCAAAAAGGAGAAACAGGTGAGGAGGTGCTGTGCTGAAAAGCGGTGACTAGTGTCTTAAGGAACCTAATTTCTTTCTCTTCCCCCTCCTCACGAAGTGTTGCTGCTTCACGTTTAAAAATGATATTAAAACTGTTGGTTATGAGTGTAGAAGTTCAGTGTGGCTTCAGAACCATCTCACGAGTTTATTAGGAGGAGTGGAGCAAACAGACAAGCTGGTGATCTTGCCAGCAGCTCCACTGTAAGGTGTCCACTCTTGTGAGTCAGAGCAATAGATCCCCTGCACAGCTCTTGATTCAACTTGTTTGATCTCCTGCTATTGTCAGTTCCATCTGTTATGGCTTTTAACGTTGCAGGAAATAATTCATACCACTGAAATACTTCTGTTTGTACAAACTGAGCTGCCAGTGTAAGTGTTCCTTAATGTTCTAATGTTTTGTGGGAAATGGCTTTTACCTGTGCAAGTACTTTCTTGTTCTTGAAGAGTTAAGGAGTAAGAAGCTTGTTGGTGAGCCATCAGAGTAGCATAGTTCTTGCATCCAGAACTCCTCCTGGGTTTGGTTTAAGAGAAACAATAGTAACTTTTGGGAGGAAGAGACAAGAATTCAGCTAAGTTTCTAAACACTGTATTTTAGCTCAATACCATCTCTACTATTCCTACCTCTTGTTCTGGGGGAGTAATTCCTTCCCTCCAGTCTGTACTTTTGCCAAGAGGTGTCAAAACTGCTTAAAAAAAAAGCTTAAAAAAAGCTTGAATTTGATTAATATAGAGAAACAAGACTTTGCCTGACTGATAATAAAACTGATAAATGACATTTGAATTACTTGTAGCAGTAATTTATTACATAAAATATCTTTTATTTGACATGCGATTAGTTGCTGGAAGCATCACTCAATCTGACTAGTTTAAACATGCTCTAAAATGAACCCCCAGTAAAAAAGCAGGGCTGTCTGCTGTTGGCGTTATGAAATACACTAATCCAGCAGTGAGGACAAAAATCTGACTTTAAATATTTAAATGATTAATTGGGTTTATATTTTTTGTTACCTTTCTAACCCCTATAATTACAAACAAACTGAAGGGAGTTTCGGAGCAAGGTGTGAGAAGCTGCATGCTTAGCATCCAGGTATCATCTGTGTTCTTCCCCAGGGTATTTATGGTCTCCATTTATGGGGATTTGTGCAGATTTTACACCTGCTTAAAAATCAGCTCCAGTGACTGTTTTTCTTGCCATTTGGATCTTCTTCTCCTACCCCTTAGTCTTCATTATGTGGGAGGCTGTAGAATACAGACTGTTTTCTCTTAAAACTAAAAATGGTAACTGGAGTCCAAACTCTTTGTTTTTTCCCAACTCTCTTCCATGGGTTCACTGTTCACTCTTGGCAAATCTCCTCTTCCAGCCTTGGTTTCTAGTCCTAAAATCTGGGTACTAGTGAGGCTGACCTTACTTGGATGCACAAAGCCTAATTAATTGATGTCAAGAAAGTTATTTCTGAGATGAATGGGGATCTTTAAAAAATAGTGTTTACTCTGAAAGTGCAATTTACAGTTGCTGCTGTGAGAATTAAATGTATATACAGGAACCACAGAGAGCTGGAGAAAATGCCTGTCCCCCTTCCATTTCATTTTTGAGGGTGTCTTATGTAGAGTGGTTTGGTACTTCCTCAGTGCCTAGAATGAAGAGTGACAGGGCTGTTAGTGGTTTTTCACTTTCTCTGAGTTTCTTCCAGTTTTACAAGTTGGGAAATTGAGCATATGCAAAGAAGTCAGTGTGAGCACCAAGGTCACAACTGAGAAACTTCTAACCCTCTCTCCACCCCACGTTTTAGGTTAGAGAAAAAAAGAAGACTGAATGTGGATTTCAGGCAGAGCTGTGACATTATTCTCAGCATTGTAAAGCTGATGTGGTCAATGCAGAGCCTTTACTGCATTCCTCACTCACTCACTGCTCCTCTCCATCCCCCTCACTTTTTTTTTTTTTGCCACAAGACAGAATTATTTCACACATCTCTAAAACGAGTAAAATGGCATTTCAGCTTCTTGTCTTTATAGACTCTCTGAACTTTAGGAAAGATCATTCTGGTCCCTTTTCATTAATAATGAAAACCAGGGGGCAATAAAATGTTCTTAGCTCAAGCATTACAGGAATGAGGGGAGAGATGAGTGAGGTGAAGGGGCAAAACAGGCAGTGTCCTACAGGTGTGGCTCCTTTCTGCTCAGAGGTGACTGCTGCTGGAAGGTAGGTGGGGACAGCCAGCCAAGCACTGCCCTGGACAGGGCCCCACAGGACCTGCTGAGACTAATTAACCCTTTGCAACAGGCAGTTCAGCCTGGAATGAGTTGTGCTGGCATAAAAGGATAAGTCAGAACTTCAGGATGGGGAACTGGATGACCAAGAGACTTCAGCTACCAGAAATGACATCGGGAGCAGAGTAAGGAAGGGAAGGTGGGATGGGTGACTGGGGTTTGCAGCAAGATTAGCCAGAGATCATTTTAAATCCTGACATGTACACAGCCAGTTACTGCAGCTTAGCTGACGTGTGTTAACTCATTAAGTTAAAAAGTTATGATAATGTGATCATGTGCCTAAGCTTCAAAACTGCAACTGCAGCAACCCAAAATACTGCTGGTGACACTATTCACCAATTCTGACAGAGCTGCTTTAGTTTCTTTGGATTTCTAGCCAGTGGATAGTTTGAGGAGCTGTGTCCCAAAATGCAGCAAGAAGCAATGAGTGCCGGTAGCTGAGAGTTGGTGCCTGTCTGTAGAGCCTGAGGGCTGGGATTAGGAGTAACTCTTGCAATGAAATGCCTGTGGAAGATCTCATTAACCAGAGAAATAGCAATAGGTGAGCAAAGCAGAAAGAGGAGACAAGCTTCCAGCTATTTTGGCCAGTTAAGATTCCCTTTGAAAGCCTAAGCTGGAACTTTGGAACACGAATGCATTTCCGAGACTCTGGATCACATGTAGATTTGGATCTGTCTGTTTGGAGTCTGTACACCGGCCTCCAGCTCATCAGGTCTGCCCACATCCTGCCACTGAACTTTAGGAAAGATCACTCTGCATCCTCTTCATTATTAAAGAAAACCGGGGGCAGCACCAGATTTGTTAAGGGAACTGCGAGGGAGGTGGAAGGATAAAGCTGGTGGAAAACTACAGGTATCTCCTGACTCTGCCTGAGGGAGCAGAGCATGCCATATCTCTGCTTTGCTCCTTGGAGTCTCCAAGCTTCTGTGCAGAACTCTGTGTTAAATATCTCAAGCTTTTATCTACTTCTTTACCTGTCTCTAGATATTGCACACTTTCTCTCTGCTGTTTATGTGTGCCTTGGTGTCCCCTATTTGTAATTTGGGCTTGAAAGACACTGGATCCTTCCTTATTGGAATAGTCTGTGATTGCTGAGACAGTGTTCATAAACCCATTTATTGTCCTGATAGATTTCTCTTCTTTCTCAAAGCTCTTCCTTCTTTTCTTCTGCACACTTCTGGGTCTCTGACACTGTCCCCATTTTCATAAATTATGGTACTGGAGAAGAATTGGTAGTCAAGTAATGAATTAACCTTAGCTAATACTAACAGCACAGACAGTTACCTGGGGAAGGTGGAGTAGGATTCAGAGTGCCTTCTGCAAGGAGAGAGCAGGGCAGAACAGCTTGAGGGAACTTTTTAAACTGCAGCTGTGATTTGTCTCCCTTTGACACTTTGTGCAAGGCCAGTGTCAATGCTGGAGGTCTGGCCAGATGGTTCAGTGATGATAAAATGGGTGTATGAAAATGGTCTCACCTGCAGTTCTGACCATGATTATTTCTTGATTTTGGCCTTTAGATCCACCTGGCTCCAGATGGCGAGATTATGGGGCTTTGGCTATCATAATGACAGGAATTGCCTTTGGATTCCACCAGCTCTACAAGGTAGTAGCTCCCTCACTACTCTTACACTGTACTCTGAGAGAACGATGTTATGCTGCTTGTGTCCCAAAGATCATGTTGGTTCCAAGCTGATGAAGCATCTCTGCTTTTCTTTCCACGACTCGTAAGCCTGTACCTGCCAAAGTTCAAAAGATTTTATAGTGTCTTCCATTCACTGGCTTGTGCCTTCTCTGGCCTTTCCTGGGCCTTTCTACATTTCTTCCCACCTCTGCATTTCTTACCTTGTGGATGTAGCTCAGATATTGCAACACATCAGTGTGTTCACTGGTGAAAGCATAAGATCTGGAATTGTACTCTATGTGTGATGGATGTTTTTCTGAACTGAGAGCTGTCCCAGGGAACCTTAAAGGGAGAGAGGAATTGGGTTTTAGCACCCTCAGAAATGCAACCACACAACTTGCTTCTTCTCTTCTGCAGCTTCTTTTAACAGCTGCTGTAGAGGGAGTTTCTTTTTGCAGCCAGATTTGTGGATAAACGATCACTGGCTCTGTGATGAAGGCTGAGCTTTGGGTGCTGGGCTTTGAGAATAGTTCAGGTGGATTAGAAAGACCACTTTGCATATCCCTATTTCCTAAAAAAGTTTCTGTACTCCATGCAGAAATACCTGCTTCCTCTCATCATGGGAGGCAAAGAAGACAGGAAACAGCTTCAGAGGATCGAGTCAAACATCTCTGAGATGAGTGGCAGTGTGACACAGACAGGTAAAGATTAATGACTCCATCAATTCACCCCTCAAAGCCTCTCTCCCTGTATCCTCCACGCTGCCAAGGCTCCCACCCTTTTCTTTCCCTCCATCTCCACTTTATGTGGTGACTTCATTTATCTGCTCTGAGAATCTGTTCACATTTGCAAATGAAGCCGCCGTCATTTCGGTTTAATTTGAAATTGCTTGTTTACTGTCGGCACGGCCTCAATTAATTATGTTTTTACGGAAAGGCTCCCAACCTCAGAATATTAATAAGGGGAATAAAATGACAGCCTTTCGGAGGGCTGTAAAGTTCATTTTTAATTTCTGCTTCTCTGATGTTTTCAGGGGCTTTTTTTTTGGTTTTTTCCCCCCACCTTCCATCTGGAAATCCGAGGAAGGGTCAGGAGAGTCTGTAATTACTGTGCCTCCCTGACCTTAGCCACCGTCTCTGTTATTGACTCTATAGGGTGTCTGTTCATTACCCAGTGCCCTAATGATGGTCTGGATTAGCTGTTACCTGTCACACCAATAGAGGTTTTAATTTTATTTTATTTTATCGGCTTGTTTACTGCTAGGAAGCTTTGGGTAAAGTACCAAAGTAGAAAAAGTTCTCCTGCAGCTGGAGTTGGAGTCCAGCAGAAGTTCTTCACTTTGCTGGGGTGTAGGAGGAGAATACAGAGTGTTCTCTTGAAATAAAAGGAGAAAAGTACGAAGTATATTCAGTTGGTGGGATGGAAAAGAGTATGATTTTCAGCACTAAGTTTGTTAGAGATGTTGGAGTTGAAGGAGCTGGTGGGTTGAGAGTGGGAGGATGCTAATTACACTTTTTAGTGGAGGGTGTGAAGAAAAGCATCTTTCATTTCTCCTGATACCCGAAGGTCAGTCCTGAGACCAGCCTCTTCCCAGACTGGAGCTAGCCCCAGTGTTTGCCTGCGTGAGGCCCAGGATAGATAAATGATACAAACATTGTATAAGTTCAGGGAGATGTACAAATCATAAACCAATATAATTAGAAGGGAGAGGTTTTGGACGGATATACTGTGGGCTATAGACATCTATACAATGGAAAGATAAACTAGAAATACTGGAGGTTAGATGCAGTGCAGGTAGATTACCCATAGTGCAGATAAATCATATGGATTAAAGTGAGCGGGCGGGTGTAGATAAATTAAATATAGTAGGAATAGAGGCATCTTTGTAGCTAGACAGCAGGAAGGACGTGTGTGAGTGTGTATATGTGCATGTATATCAGTTTAACACTCTCCTGCTTTTTTCCTTGCAGTGACTCAGCTACAGACAACTTTAGCAGCTGTCCAGGAACTGCTAATCCAGCAACAACAGAAAATCCAGGAGCTCACCCAAGAGCTGGCTGCTTCTAAGGTATCACCTTTAGAACATCACCATCTTCTCTGGAACACACGTGGCTTCTTTTGTGAGCACATGGGTAGCACCTTATTAGGTTCACAGTCCAGCCTTCAGCTCTGTCATATCCCCAGCCAGTTTCTCTGCATCTAACTTCTCCTTAAGCAGTTTGTTTAAAGCACTGGACATTTATTGGGGACTAAATGAAAGATATCTAACTTCTTAGAAGCCTTTGCTATATATCTTCATATGCTGCCTGTGTGTCTGAGACTCAGACCTGTTCTCAGCTCTGTATCTTCTGCACTGCATTTGAGATGAAACAATTGTGCTGTTAGTCCACTGGGCAAAAGAGCTGGAGGCCAGTTGTGCAGAGGATTTCTTTGTGTCTAGCATGTAATTTTACATGTTTATATTTCTCCCTGCCCTTGTATGTTGTCAAAACAATGACTTAATCATGTTCAGCCAAACACACACTCGAAGTACTGTATTTAATTCTCTTGTTCAGGTCCAGGCCAGGTCATGGCTGAACATTCTTACTGTTTGGTTTCTCCTTTCAGTGGTTTTGCCCATCTCAGTGTAACAGGTAGTCCCATCACAACCACAGCAGTGATGCACAGTGGCCCTTTCCCCTCGACTCTTGACGTGACCCTGGCAGTAAAACCATCAGTTCTGACTAGTTTGTGTTGTTACATGTGCAACTACAAGTAACCATTTTTAACCAAAATTCATTTTCTTTTTGGCAATGAGAATTAGTGCTTTTCATCTCTGAAGTCCATTGCAGCCACTGGCCTAAGCATTCTGTCAGCCAGTAAGTACTGGCTGCATGTGAGGTGGGATGGGTTTGAACCATCACACAGAGGTGACATGAGCTTGCAGTGTTCTCTCTACAGGGAGAGATTTTAATTTTGACTGTGGAATCCTTTAGACAATGCTCACAGTCTCTTACCTGTAGTGTGGACAGCTGTCTTCTCCCCTTACCTGTACTTCAGTGCTGTACAGACCCTTTGATGGTGTGTAACTGGTGGGCCTCAGCTGACTGTGTGGTGTGCACACTGTACAGTAGGAATCCCTCAGTGGTGCAGCTGTAAACCCAACCATGAAAGCCAGTTTATGGTCACAACACTCTGCTTCAATTTTCCTTGGGAACCGTGGCCTGTCAGTGGCCTGGAGCCAGTCCGGAAATTGGAAAACTGTTTTCAGGTCTTAAGTGTTAAGATTAAGACCACATGTTAAGCTTTAAGAAGGAAAAAGGGCATAAGAGTCTTGGTGGTTTAGAGAGTCTTGAAGAAGTTTTTCCTCCCCCCCTTCTCTACCCCCTGCACTGAAATGGTAGCACACATTGTTATGATATCTAAACCTCATGTGTACAAAGAAAAACTTGGGCAGCCCCACAAACCAAAGAATAAAAGCTGTGTTTTCTCAGCTGTAGTGTAAGTTTTTATATCTGCTTTTCAAACTCCTACTGGCATGCTGTAAAAAATTAAAAAGAGGGACTTTAAGTAATTAAAAAACGTACATAAAAATTCAAGGCTTGAGTTTTCTACAACTGTTTTTTAAAGAGACTGGCTAAAAAGCCCCAGATGTCAGATTTTATTTCTAAATCCTCGGCATCTGGCACCATATGTGTTTTGGAAATTTGAGTCCTTCGCAGGCCACTGAGTGGAAATCACTCCCTTGTTAATGTGCTGCTGTAGCTTTCAAGGTCTTGGAAAGCCAGAACAGTGGCTCCTGGATTCTTGCTGTCTGAGGGCTGGGAGTGTGAATCCCAAGGGAACGCATCTGTGTATATCACAGCTCCTCCAGACTGAGCCTCTCCCAGCTCACTGGCTTCACAGCCCAGAAACCACTGTGAGGAGTGCTGGCTGTGAAGGTGTTCAGGGTTACTCAGCACTAGCTGGAGTCTCTTTAAAGAATAAGTAGGAGCAACCCGTTCTGGCTAGATCTAGTAGGTGTTGCTGAGGAGGAGATTTGTGTTATTCCAGTCCTGGCTTCCTTTGTCAGGGGGTTTGTTAGGAGTACCTCTGGAGCAGTGCTCACAAATGAGTTCATTCGTAATGGCTTTTAGCAGAAATCACTATGGGCAGTGCTAGATGTGACTGTTCTTTGTCCCTTACTCAGCCCTTCACTACAGGGGTTGCTAGAGTGATAGGATGGGGTAACCATAGGCCATGATCTGTCTTTCAGAATGCTCCTCCCATTTCTCAAGTTCCCAAAAGTATTAAAAGAAAGGTTGCACAAAGTATTACCTGCAGCATGTTCCCCTCAGTTGTTACCTTGCTCTTATTTCTGTCTGATATCCCATAGCAATTCTGATGCAGTGCTGACAGCAGCTGCACCAGACTTCCACAAGTTGCTTATCATCTTTCCCCACCAAATTGCATTCACTGCCTTGCAATATCCCAGAGACAGTGCCTAGTCCAGCTGCTGCCTGGAGATGCAACCTGGTAACTCAAGCACAGCTCCAATTCTTCAGATCTTGTAGGGGAAATTTTCACAACTTTCAAGCATTGATTTATCAGCCCACCTCTAAACACCACAGAACACAGATAATCAATTCTTTATTTTGTGATTTAGACAAATGGAGAAATGACTAAATGGTTTTAAAATACTTAATATATAATACTTGTTGCCTTGGGTAAGTGCAGTCACAGGAAAGAGTTAAAGGGGCTGATTCAGTGCAACTCCCACTGCCTTTCAGGATCCTAGTGCTAGTTCTTCACTAGAAATCATTGATCAAGTCAGTGTCAAATTGTGTAGTTTACCTCTTTGAGTATTGTGCTCAGTCTGATGTGTTGGTGGAAGACATCCTATGTACACCTAGCTTTGTCTGAGTTCTCACAAGTGCTGGCATTGTCCTAATCCCAAAGGAAAGATCCCTTTGAGATGCCTCAGCAGTGGTTCTGCACGGTGTGCTGGAGACAAGATTAATTAGGCCCCCAAATAGAAAGCAAACATTTGGATAGTCTTAGCACCTTGAGACTGTTATTATTTCAGATCATCGTGGGGATCTGTTCAGGTCCTCCTTTATTGTGGAAGTTGTTTTGTTCAGATCTGAAAGATTTTAAATGACAGAGCTTATGTATGTTACCCTAGAGCTTGAGATTCCCAGATGAGGAGAGGGAGGATAACACAGAAAAAAAGTGACATTTGTGAACTATCTTCCAGTTCATGCTTTCATCTTTATTTCTTCTTTTTCATGTTCTAGGCCACAACTTCCACCAACTGGATTCTGGAGTCACAGAATATTAATGAATTGAAATCTGAGATCTACTCATTAAAAGGACTTCTCCTGAACCGGTATGGATGGAATACGTGAGCAGACTGTTATGTGGGGAAAGGGCTGCTTTCTGGGATTCTCTCAATCACAGAGAGGAAAGGCATTTCCAACAGGAACTAGCTCTATATCCTGTTATTGCTATTTTAATAATGCCACTTTGCACTCCACTATCACTTTCTATTTGCAGGTCTCAAAATGCTTTTCAAACTTGCTTTAAATCATAGAGCGCTTTGGATAATTAATAAGATTTTTCCTTTTTGTTTGCAATAGAGGAATTCTCTGCCACTCACCCCAGTCAAGATGCCTCTCACCCAGTTTGAGGTGTTGATGGCATCTGCACCTGCATTGTTAGAGAGTCTCTTCTGGATGCAGTTCAGCTGACCAGTTCCTGACCAGAGCATAACCAAGGGTGGAAAGAATCACCTTTCAGCAGAGCCTGTTTCTCTGGATCACTTAGCTCAGGTGTAGGCATCCTATGATGTGCTAGATGACTGAAATGAGGTGATGTAAATCCCAGCCTGTGGGACAGTCATGGGAACAGGGATCAGATCTCAGTTACTGAGGAAATTCTTTTTTTTCCAAGTACATTAATTAAGAGTTTATCTAGCTTTTCAGCTATTGATCCTCTCTGATATGACTCCCTTGCCTCCTCCTACATGTCACTAAGTCTTCTCATATCATCTGCTTCCTAAGAGATGGACTTCAGAGATCAGTCTAAGACTGGCTTAGACATGTTCTGGTTTTCAGGAAGCGGGCTTTTCAGAATGTGAAAAGTGTATTGTCTCTAATATGGTTTTAAATTCTCACTACACCTCCTATTCCTCCCAGGATTCAGAGGAGAAAGCTTTGGAGGACTGAGGACATGTAGTAAGTTACTGTCAGCTAAGCTGGATCATACCTAGTGTCACTGCTGGGGAGAGAGTGTTACTTACTGACACTCTTCAGCAGTGGCAGAGTTGCAGCTGGGGGATAAGTGCTTTTTGGAAAAAAGAAAACTCTTTGGGGAGTTGTTTTTTAACAAAAAGGCAAATGTTTCTGCAGAGAGGAGGCAGCAGCAACACTGGAGCCAAGAAAGTCTCCAGATTGAATTTGTTGATTGCATTTATGATACTGGTTGAATAATGTAGGCATTAGCTTATTGCACTCCCAGGAGATGGAGGTTAGATCAGCAGAGTTCTTCAATGGCTGGTGGTGGCAGCAGGAAGAGGGAGGTGAGAGCAACTGCTCTTCCTACTTCGGTCTAAGAAAATATGAACTGCTGTGTTTGAGTGCTCACTGTAGGAGAGCAGCCAGCTTTCATCTGCTCTGGTCATATCCGTGGCACCAGGCAGCTCACCTGGGGGCACAGGGGCTCCCTGCCACACAGGGTCCTTTTCAGAGCTTGATCTGACACCTCTCCACACTCCTGCTTTTCACATGCACGAGCAAGGATACCTGGGGAGTACTAGATCAGCCATGCTTTTTTGCTTTGCTCTTCATGATGGGTGACTTTCTGAGGGCATAGAGTTCTCCCCACTGCACTTATATTTGTCCTGTTTGGTGCTTGGATTCTCCTGCTAGGGCTGGGCATTAGCCTGCCACTGTGGACTCCTTGAAGCCCTCCTGGGAGAGACAGAGCAGCCAGCTTGTGCAGCTGGTGCAAGCACGTGTGGCTCCAAGTCAGAGAAACTGAACCAGTTTGCAGGAGCCAGGACCTGGCCCAAACATGTAACGTGCCTGCTGGGACTGGGAGGGAGGCTCTGGATTGTGATGAGGCAGGATGCAGTCGCTGTGTATCACAGTGGGGCGAGAGCCAGGTGGTGAAATTCCTTGGCTCCGGCACAAGGACCTGGTGTGCCTGACTTCTTACTCCAGTGGGAATTGGCTTTACCAATTAATTAGTGATTGTTTTATAAAGGGACACCCATCTCTTTCCACAGGCACCGTTCCTGAGTGCTAGCTTGCTCTGTGAAATTGCCCTAACCAGATGATTTTAGTACTTCAGGCTGCCCAGCTGTGGTATTGTCCTTGTGTGCAGGCCCTGGCACCGGGTGCCTGTAAAGCACTTTGAGGTTCTGGCTGAAGAACTGAAGTGATCTTGGGTTTGTTCCTTTGTGGCAAAGGAGATTTGCAGTTTCAGTCCTGCTTTACGTGCTTGTCCCACTGCAAATACTGTTCTCTCTAATGATAACCCCTCAGTGTTTTTAATAAAAGCCCCTTTCTCTCCTTCTCTTCCCCTCTTCCCCTCCCCAAGGAGGCAGTTCCCTCCCTCCCCTTCGGCTCCCAAGATCCCGTCCTGGCAGATCCCAGTGAAGCCAAGCTCACCCTCCAACCCTGTTGTTGCCAACCACAATAGCAGCAGTGACATCTCACCTGTCAGCAACGAGTCTACCACCTCATCACCAGTCAAGGAGAACCACAGCCCTGAGGGCTCCAAGGTCAGCTGCCACCTGCTGAGCACGGAGGAGGGCAGCAAGGCAGTGATTGACGTCAAGAGCCAAGTGAGGATGGAGGTGCAGGGTGAGGAGGAGAAAAGGGAAACCAAAAGGAGTGAAGAGGAGGAAGAGGACGATGAGGATGATGATGTTAGCCATGTGGATGAGGAGGAATGTCTGGGTGTCCAGACTGAGGACCGGCGAGGAGGGGATGGTCAGATTAATGAGCAAGTGGAAAAACTACGAAGACCCGAGGGGGCCAGCAACGAGAATGAGATTGACTAAGGCACCCTGGCTTCTGCTGCTGCTGCTGCTGTACATCCTCTGTAGCCTCCTGCACTGTCCCTGGTGCCTCTCCCATTTTGAGGAGAGAAGTGCCACCGTCCCGTCCAGTGATTCTTCCATGACTGACCTTGAGCAGGGTCATGATTGCCCAGTGAGCAAGGTGGGCCCTGTTTCACTACAGGGCTTTGCAGTGTCGCAGTGGCTTCTCCTCCCTCCCCAGACCCACGTTCTCCCCATGAGCTGGGGTCACTGCCTAGGCTGGAAGACCAATCGCCTTACCATGCACCACAGCTACAGAACAAGTCCTCTTACAAAAACACCATCTCTCCTGAAACAGTTAGCCTCTTTGCTGCATCCTAGAGCCCTTCTATCCAGTTTCAGAAACCAGTCTGTCCTGAGCTCTTTGATTTCACAAGCCTTTAATCCTCACCTAAGGCCCAAACCAGTTCTCTGTTTCCCTGAATAACCCTCTGTTTTATTTCTCACACTACTTGATACTCTGTTGCCAAAAAAATGAATGTTTTAACCCTAAATTCCTCACCAGATCTCAGTCTTGGTTCTTCCAAGCCTTATGTCAAGCCCCCAATTCCTGAAACTACCTAGCATCTGAGAACACTAAATTTCTGTGGGGTCCAAAGAACACAATTTCCACCCCACATGCTTACCTTCATTGAAGTGGCCTCTTGCTAGGGACCAGGACCAGGTGTCATGGCCACAGTCAGATGGATGAGAACAGATGGCTTTGTTACTGATTGCTCCCCAGTAAAAGATGGCTGTAAAAGAAGCTGACTCCACTCATCCCAGTTATTGCCCTTCGTCCTCCAAAGACAAGGAGCTCACATCAGTTTTTGGTATCTTACGTTTTATTTATAGCTATCCTGAATGAATGAATGAATGAGGTGATATCAGATGCTGAAATAGTTGGTTAATTCTGAATCTTTGCAATGGTTTTCAGCCTGGTTTTCTCTCTAAATGAGAAGAAAACCATCTTAAATGATCAGCTGAGACCTGTACCTACCCAGTGACAGGCAGCTGCTCCAGCAAAGCAGCCCTGACAGAAGAGAGAACAGTTCTGGCTCTGAGGTTAACCACTGGCCCTTCTTGCCCAGTCCAGCCTTTTTTTGCCCCATTGGGGCTATACACAAATTAAAACAGTGAATTTTGAAACCTCTCATTTGCAGCATTGTGTTCTCAGCTGGTAAAATGGTGGTGTCCAATTATATTATTCACTGCATCAGAGCCTCTTAGCAGAGCAATTCTTGTAACAACTGAGTCTCACTGTCCTCACCAAGCAAGTGTGCTCGTCTGTGTGATCATGTATAGATTTCAAATATAAAATATGATTGTATATAATTGTAATAAATATGAGTTACCACTATTTAACACCAGGCTATTACTGGATTACTCTGTCTCTTATTTGGGGGAAAAACATGCATGCAGGGTGGTAAAAGGGGGAAAAAGGGACTATTACAGAAATTCAGTCCTTGTAAAATGTTTTTGGAAGGATATTCATGGCTGACTGCTCCAATACTAGGTCCTGTCAGTGGGAGGCAATGTAGAGAACAATGTAAGCTCAGTAGAAGGTACAGTATAAATAGCTCCCACACCACCATCACGTGAGGTTGCCTCAAGTGCTGCAGAGGGTGAGATGGATGGATCCCCCAGTGAGTAAGACACAGCTATTTGGTTCCTTCCCTCCCAGCAGGAGGCTCTGGGGGTGCAGAACACAGCGTCCCACTCCTTTCACCCCTGGCAGCAGGAGGTGCTGAAGGGAGTGAGTGAGATATCCCAGGGCCTTATCTGCCAGCAGGGACTGAGCCATGTCCCATGACTGCCCTGCCCCTGCCCTGCAGAGCAGAGGCCACTGGCAGAAATGGTGCACAGCAAGTGACCTGCAGCTGCTGCCCTCCCAGCCTTGCAGGACAGAACTATTTGGCTCCCTTATTAAAAAATGAGGGATTTACTTGATTCCTGAGTATTTGGGTGTCTGGTACACAGTGACATTTTCCTGCTCGGGGAGAGCGAAAGGGACCTTCATATTACTGTATTTAGACCTGCTGCTGAATGTGATGATTTCTCATTCCTTAAATGGACGAATATCTTCCCCAGGAGTGAGTGAGTGTGTGTGTGTCTCTCTCTCCCTCTCTGTCTCTCTCTCCACTGTTTAACGTTCACAAAGAACGTCACGTTTAGCTAAAACAGGGCAAATTTGAAAGTGTTTAAAAGGAAAGGCTTTTCTTAAGAGATGGCACTTTTCATTTCTCCAAGCCAAGAATCCTCGTGAAAAGAAAACACGACTGAACGCAGGGATGTGATGAAAAAGTATTGTCCTGCCTGTGTACATTTCATATACATAGAAGGTTTTGAAAATAGAAAGTGCCTGGTCAACAGCAGTTGGTGAAATGTGGAAAATATGTTGCTGAGGTATGTGCCTTGCAGAGTGACTTACGAGGCTTGCAGCACAGGCATCCCTGCGGGTTCCTTTTCCCCCTTTTCCTCCATGTTGCCAGTGTTCAATTCATTTACCTCAAGATTCCTGGTGCAGAGTAAAAGGCAGTTCTCTTCAGCTGCCCTTTTCCCTCCCTTAGCTTTAGCTTCTTAGAACCTTTACAAATTCATCAGGTCACAGTTCTTCCTTCCCCTAACCTGATGAATCCCAGAAATCTCCACCATAGCCATTGTTGCTCATAAGAATCTAACCCTGGGCCTCTGGCTGCTGGTGGGGTGTTTGTGTACTTGGTTGAAGAGATCCAACCCTCCAGCAGGGAGCCTGGAAGAAGCCAGACCTTCTCACCAGCAGGTACTGTTGTGAGTCTTGCTCCTCTCTCTCGTGTTCCTTGTCTTTCCAGCATAGCAACAGCTGCAGGGCAAGGATTTGGGGCCTTATGAACCATGTTGCCTGGCTGCTAACTTGTCATTTTCTCCTTTCTTTTTTTTTTTGCCAGAAACAAAATTCTTACATCAGCTGCCCAGTGAGATGTTTGGCCCACTGGCCAGTAGGCACTGAGGAGGGGATCCTGTTGGCTGAAAGATGGCCAGGTAGCAAGCTGATTTTCTGCAGAACAAGACAGAGAGCAGCAGTTACCCCCCATCTGGCTTATTCAAGTACTTTATTTTATTGTGTAATCAGCCTTTGTTTTGACACAGGAAGAAGAAGAACAACACCCTGGTTGGTGAGTTCAGTGGGTTTGTCAAATGGTTTCTGTAGGTCCTTGTTGGCATACAGAAAGCAGGTGAAGGGAGCTTCCTCTGAACAGTGTCATCTGAGCACATCTCAGTGAAACCCTGTGAGCCTGTGCTTGCTCTCTTGGAGGAAATGCTATCAGCCTGGTGCTTCCCAGAAATTTGAGAATATAAAAGCTCCCTTTTCAATAGCTGCAAGAGAAATGTGGGGAACTCCACAGATGTGACAAAGTGGGAAAGGGTTAAGAGAGATGTCTCCTGATCATCTTTGTCTAACCTTCCTCACCCCCAGGTGTGATAAATAAGCCCTATGTGCAGCTTCCTCAGAAGCAGGAAGAATTTTTTTTAATTGCCTTGTGTGTGTTGGGGCTATAACCTAACAGTGTTTGGCATCAGGAGGCAGAGGATGGACTCTGCCTCCCCGTAGGACCCCTTCTGATCTTGCTGCTTTGCAAAGTATTTTACTTCCAAGTGTGCCTCAGTTTCCACATGTGGTGGTAAGAGGGTTGCTGGAGGGTCTGTCCTGCTGTGTGCTGGTGGAAGGGAGCGTGGCACATGCTGGGCTGCTGGCTGGGGCAGTGAGGGAGCTGTGGAAAAGGTCTGTGGCTGCTCCATTGCTTTCATCTGAAGTGCCTGCTACAGAAATGGAGGCAGCCTTGGTCTTTCCTTTGGTTGGCCAGTGTGATGCCTGGGGAAACAAAGGCTAGGCAAAGGTCCAGAGTAGCTTCTGGTTGCAAACTGCTGTGTTAAAGTCAAGGTCTCCACGCTTGACTGGACCCTCCACACCCAGTAGGTTGTAGAGCACACAAATGTTTCCCAGGGACTTTGACAACAGGAAGCTTTGGAAGGTCCCCCCTGGGTGGTGGTGCTTTATGTTAAACACAAATTGTATGTGCTGGTGACTGTGCACACCAAAACTGATGCTAAGCTTGAGCTCTGAGTCTTCCAGCCTGGACTTGATCTCTCGTGCCATTGGGTGGTATGAAAGTGCAAAGCAAGAGAGGGGCTTGGCCTCCAGGGATTGAAAACATAAATAAAGGGATGCTGGGAGGTGAAACAAGAAATTATTTACCTAAGGGCACAGGAGAGAGCTTCCAGCTTTCTTCATTTTCCCTTTCCTTGTCTTATCCCCAGACTATGCTGTAGGCACCTTTGAAGCCGTGTCCACCATTATGCTGATGAAAGGCTGGCTCTTATCACTATGTGCACTCTCAAAAAATGAAATAAAATAATGGAAATGTACCTAAGGTGAATTTTAGGGTATCAGGGAAGAGGAAAGATGGAGGGCAGGGCCCAGCTCCAGCACTTGCTGTGCAGTAGAAACTCTGAACTGTGCACTTGTAGACTGAGGGGCTGGCATGGTCTCTCCCAGCTCAGGGAAAAAAACAATCCCATCCCCAAAAGGGAGCAAGCACTAACCTAATAAAGGCACCAGCTGGACGAAGGGAAAACCAGCTCTTTGGAAAAAAAAAACCCAACCTCCTTTCATTAGAAAAATAATATATTTCATCCAAATAAGGTAAAAATATTTGAAATGGGGCAGAAGTGAGCACTAGGCAGCATCTGTCAGGCCCTTTCTGAAAAGGGGAAGATTATTATACTCAATTACAATTTATTTTTGTAAAGTGTCTTTCAGACTAAAAATCTCCCCAAATGCTTTGCAGGGGCTGCTCGGGGGTTACTCACAATATGGAGCATCTCAGAAGAACACCCCTGTTTTCCCCAAGCCCTTCTTTTCTGCATGTGCTGAAGGATTTAACCCTTCAGGATTTATTTTTCCATATTTACGCAAATAATGGGAGATGTTTTATGATGCTGGCTGCAAGAACAAGCCTGAAGAGGGATGGGGGAAAGAGACTTTGGTTATTTTTTCTGTTTTAGGTAAAACCCTTGCTTTCCTTTAGGACTGTCTGCAGAGTGGGAAGGTGGTTGGCTGGCTGGGGCTGATGCAGAGGCTCTGGCAGCACAGCTGCTTTGTTTGTTGCCTGTTTTTGTGCCCGTCACTTTTCCAGCCTCCTTGTCTGCCTCTGTCACTGCCTGGCACGTGTGCTTCACACAGCATCCCTGCTCTTGGGTTTTCAGGCTTCCAGCATGCCTGCCTGACTCCCAATGCCTATTGCTCATCCCTTTTCCCTTCTAACACCTCAGGCTGTTTCTGACTTTATCCCTCAGCTGCTACAGGCTAGCACTGAGGCTTCATCTGTCTGAGGCTAGAGTAACACCTTTTTAAAATTGCTTT